GCACCAATTAAGAATAATCAATGTTTCTGTGCATGCATAAGAGAAAGAGAGAGAAGGATATCCTGGAAGCAATAAGGGGAACAGCAAAAGTTAAACAGAAGAAAGAAAATAGAGCATCGAGACAATGGTCCAATCTCATGTCATTATCAACTCATACAACTAAGATTATGAGCATATTGTTTCCAGGGGGCAATTCACGAACAAATTGAATATGGAATATGGAACAGATTGTCAAAGCATTATAAATCCCCGCCTGCGCCTACTCATAATCAGTCTTCCAGCCCTCTATAAATTTCAATAATCAACATATATGACCTCTATCTTTCTAACATAAAGCATAGTATCATGATATCAAGAAGGAAAAAAACAGAGCAGGTGGCTCTTACCAGATAGTTGAGCCGGTTGACAAGTGGTATACATTTTCACTCTAAATCTTTTCTTTTATGATAGTGTGCTTGACACACTAATAATAACTAAGTAATTAAAATGACAAGCACTCAGCCACATACAAAGTTAATTCTAACTTCCAACGACAATTATAAAACATAAAAAGGAATGAGGCAAGTAAACAATAACTCTAGTGCTCACTTGTGCCAAACTGAGTCATGTTAGTGCGCAGTGGCTGCGGGAAAATAATTCTTTTACATTGAAGTACAGATTTATCCTCAAAGTCAACAGCAAATGATTCAACAGAAGTGTGTGCGTTAGTGCGAAAGAACTCTAGTCCTCAAAAGAATGTCAAAGTCAGCAACAGGAGACCCATGTCAGAACCCATTACGACGTGTTCTACGTTATAAATTGAAGGGGGTTAATGGAGAGGAAATAGTTCCCCTACTTCAAAGTTTTAAACTTGAAAGAGAGGAACAGGAGAGGAGAACAATTTCCCCTCCTCCCAACTTGTAATTTATCGTTCAACCCAAATTAATTAATTCAAATGCAAGGTAAGGGCTATATTGAAATGTTAAACTTCTAATATTTCCCGATTTCCGTGTTTTGGTGAATTAAGCATCTCCTTCCCTCTTTTTCCAAGCTTCCAAACATAAAACCCGGTTCTTGTAATAGATGATGACCTAAAATTTCGTCCCAGAAGAACTTACGCTAAAACATAGGGGAGCTAAGACAAAATATTTTGAGAACTGACTCCCATACAAAGACATCCCGTATCAAAGGCCAGCCAGATATCTGAAATATTATTAATGTAGCACCTGAACCATAGACCCGTGAACCGAAACACAGATCACGGCTGTTTTCTTGCCTTAACTTTGTTATACAGGACGACATAAGACCTCAGAAATTAAATGCAGCGAGGGAGGGGGGGGGAGCGGAATGAAAAAGGTCTGTGCAGTGGAGAAAGATAAGTGTGACTAACTTAGTTGAGGCCGACGGCCGGTGCCGAGGCTCTACGATGTTTGGGGAGGATACTCTCATCTCTGTCTCAGCCGAAGCAGTGGTGAGGTGACATCTGAATTTGATCTACGAGACAATAAACGGAATGCAAAATTAAAACCGACGTAAAATTAACAAGAAGTAAGCACTACACGTTGCACTGTAATTAGATAAAGACCAGTAGAGAATATCGATAAGTGCGTTCAACACCGGTGATCCACACAGTGACTTGCGATTCAGAAGAAGTCAAAGTATCTTCGGAAGGCAGCAAAATGAACTTGAAAAATCAACTTGATACGGTTGCTGAACTAGAGAAGAAAAGAACCCTAAGCTGCGATCAACAAGAATGGTGGTCGCCGAGAGCAGAGACCACCGCAAAAGACGGAGTCGGTAAGAATCGAGAAAACGGTCAGAGGAGCTTATTACATTTTGTTCGCCTCAGCCGCCTGTCGCTGCATAATTTATTAAGATTTATTAAGATATAATACTCCTCTAATCCTTAATATAGGAATTAGTTCTTGAGTTAGTTTTGATCCTAAATATAAGACCTATTTATCATATTTATCAATTTTCTCTAAGTTACCCATATGAATACTCCCTCAATCATAATCAAGTAGAAGAGGGAGAAGGGGTATTAAAAAAAGATGATTACGGTGTTTTAGGAAAAATATATCACTTTTCTTATAATAAACTAACTTATTTAACTTTCTTAATCTAATCAATTTAGTTAAATGGATCTTATATTAAAAAGAAGAGGAGTATTAATAATAATGGCTGGATGCATTGTTCTCCCGATAAATTACGCTTTTCTATATTCGAAAGATAGAGAAAATTTACTCCCTCTACCAAATCTTAACTGAGAAAAGAATAATAAGATTAGCGTAAAGAAATGCAAAGCCAATTGTCAAAATATACGCCAATCATAGCACGCTTTTCCTCGATATTTTTTAAGCAAACGTAGTCCAGAGTTTTATTTTTAATTCAACTATTTAAAACACACTTTGTGACGGAATTGGTCAGTACCTTTTTTCATAAATGCTTGTTGAGGAATTTTTGAATTTTTTTTGGCCAAAATTTTGAATTATTCATTGTTGCCGTACTGACAAAATTATAAAACAATGTGTTAAGAGCATGTTTTCTTTTTTCTTAAATATCGGGAATATGCTCTTGTTTCGCGAGATGTGTACATCAACGTCAGTAGTTACGAGTCAAAGGGACTTATGAATGATAATTGAACTATGATAACGGGTCACGTAATTATCATGATCAGTTATGCAATAATAGACGCTTAATTTTGCTGATAGAGCTCGCTCTGGGCTGCCTACCTAATCTGTTAAACCAATTATGAAGAAGATTCGTTGGGTTAGGATGGGAAATACGGAAGATGGGTTAGCTGGCCATGTTTGCGGGGGCCAAATTAATAATACAATTAATATGCTAACCGCAAAGCCCCCGCGTTGTGTCCTCTCGGCTTAATTTTATGCGCCAGAGATTACAATTCATCGCCCTTCTATTTTCTCCTCTTGCCTTAATTGCTGCATCGCTTTTTAAAATAGCAATAAGAATTTGGAAAAACATAATACATCCTTTTATCGTTAATATAACAACTAGTTGACTAATTTGTATAGATTAATAAAGTTTATTAAGTTATTTGTAATAATTATATGTTGTCTTTTCCATAATATCTTTTTAAATTATGTATATTAGTTATAACTATTATTTGATGAAATTTTTAACATATACAACTCCTATAAAAACTACTTTAGAAAAAATGAATAACTATAAGAAACAAAATGGATTGGAATCTTATATTTAGGATCAAATTGAAAATCAAATTTATTAAACACTGAAGGTGGTATTACATGAGTATTTAATAATTTTAACTAGTAATTGCTTCTGGGTCACATCTCACATGGTGGATTTGGTTGTTCGATGATATGATTATATAGAATATAAGGCAGGGTTAAAGGAATAATGGACCAATTATAAAAATAAGAATGCACATGATCCCTTACGTGTGAGGGTGGCGAACTTTTGGATCCAAGCCACGGCCTCAACCCTGAGCATTAATTATATATGGCATGTGGTTTTTTCCTCTCCTGTAAACGACGCCCTTTTTTGAAATGAGAAAACTAGAATAATATCCAATTCATCTGTCTAAGAAAAAGAAATGAAAGCATTTAATTTTTTTTTTTAAAAAAAAAGTTCGAGAAGAGAATCCAACATCCGTAAATGAATAATCGCTATTTTCATCTCTGAATGAAGTTATATATATATATATGAACCTCTCAATTTTCTAACCACCCAAATGCTACGCCGGAAGCATCAGTACCACAACCTTCTCCCCATTCTGGAGATCTTAAAAAGGGTACACCCTTACACGAGTGAAACAAGACCATACATTTAATGCGTAAAGCTTTTGGGATCGATAACCAGGGGCACAAACTTACATCATACTCGAGTTGAAAGCATCCATAATTACTTCTCGTAAACATGGATTTCCAAATGAGCCATCTCAGAGATCACAGCATTTTCTCCGACGGGAGTCTCCAACGCCGACATTTAGGCAAATCTTTAAATCTTCTGACAAATAATCTCTTAAAAAAGCGATGGTAAGAGAATCACTTTTTAAAATTTTTTTTCCGTGTACATTAAAATTATTTTTAATTGGGTATGCTAAAAATATTCCCACAGCCTGTAACTTAGTGAATAAGAAGGGCATGCATTACAGCAGGTTCGGCACACGCGCTTACTGTGAAGGCGTCAGGTTGGGCATTTTGAGAGTTGTTTGTTGAGCTCTGAACGCAACTAGTTTTGCCACACAAAAAATCGCCCACACAAATAAATCCTTCCAAACACTCAGAAATAATAACCTCCACGTACTTACGCCTGCCTAAGCTAATTAGAAATATGGTTCTGAATATACAGAATGATCAATATTCAGCTCCTCCGAGATCAGACCGCGCCTGCATCTACCTCGGCTAGCGCCCTCACCATCCGTCGTTATTACTTTTGCAGTGTCTCTATCCACTCACATCTATTCTTTTCGATCCGATTCCATTAGCATGTTGTGTAATGAAGGCTTTTCGTTGGATCATTCACTGCCTTTGATGACATCCTTTTAATATGTTTCCACACCCCACACACACACTTGGGTCATTCGGACTCCCAAACTAACGGAAAAGCATACTGAACTTTTTCACATTCCAGGTGCCGAGATACGAACAGGAATAGCTGATAGTGAATTGATGATTAATGATATAGTCACGTCCAAAAGATTTTGACCCTCTTCTTATCCATCTACCATCCACGTCAACTCAGGCCTCCAGTACTGTGGAAATTTAAGCCCTATCACACGGGAAAATGCAAAGGACAAGACTGGGCACCTGGAGAGAGAGTTCTTCACAATAATACAGTCATACAGATATCACAAAAACGTCCGGGAAATGACTGAGAAAGAAGCTGACCGAGCATAACTACTAGAAAGTTCAGATTTCAAAATATGGCGTGCTTTAATTACTGGAAGTGGATCCCTTGGTACTGTCTCACAAGGCCAAAAACGACTCAAAATTTGGAGTAGCGAATGTTTATCTGAAGACTTATATATATAAGAGCTAATTTTCACTTTTTAACTCGCCCTCCATTCCCAGCTTTAAATCGGGTGTGAAGGAGATCTTCTTGCAGTCTTTGGAAAGCCACTTGGATTTCATGTAAGCGGCTTTTCTCCATGGAGGAACGTGAAGGCCTTTCTCTCTCAACGATTTCTTAGCAGCTGAACAAAGCAAAGAGGTTATGTTGCTCCATCTTTCTTCAGTACCAACAAAAATCGAAGGAGGCATGTCAGTGAGGTCTTCGTATGCTCTCGTTGGTTTTGCCAGCAAAAACTGTGACCTGAAGTCCATATCCACTATCAGCCTTGCTGCTTTGCCTTCAATAGTGTTGCCCATCACCATCATCACGTCTATGAATTCGTAATCACTTGTGAACTTAAAAGCTAGATGAAAACCCAAAATAATTATCAAATTATCGGATATATATATATATATATATAGAGTCAGGCGAGGAATTTAGAAAAGCATCATATCATCTCAAAGAAGAGCTCAGAGGAAACCTTTAGGACGATTGATAGTGGGCAACCAGGAAGTTTGGCAAAGAGAAGCTTCATAGCCATCCATTCTGAGTTTTATCACAACCAGCTTCTTCAAGTGAGAAGCACCATCACATTCTTCATCTTTTGCATACTTCGGAATCTTTTCAAGAATCTCTACTTCAATATCTGTGACCTCCCATAGTATTTCCTGTAAAAAGAAATATCGGTGAGGCGTGGGGACATTTAACTAAGCATGGAAAAGAATTGAAGGAACAAGGAAATGATATTAAGATAAAGAAACCTGCAACTGCGAGGTGATGCATACGGGTTTGTGAATTTCAGAGAGGGCCTCGGAAGTAAAGGCTGCTTCGGAATCAGATTCAATGAAATCTCTAACCATTTGAAGGAGCTGATCCTCTGTCAAGCTACCCATTTTCTTCCACCTATTCAATGGCATTGCTAGGGAGCTATAAAACGAAAGACGGCGATTGACTTTGGCCCAGTTGAGTGTGGGGTGATTCCTTTCCACCTCGTTTCTTCGACGGTGCGAAGGCTTTATTTTAGGAATTCCAAATTTCGAATATTTCAACACAACGTGTCAACTCGTCATGACGTGAAGACAATAATATAAAAACCACGACTTGCCGTGTATTTCTAGAGCTAAGAAATTCCAGTGATTTTGTTCCTGCGACAGAACTTCCTGCACCCCTCATTGGTTTTCCTCCCCAGCCAATCTCATGATAAACTACTAGCCCACACACTATAATTTTAAAAAAAACAAAGAATTGACGAATAAGAGAACACACATAGCAGACGTTTGGTGAATATAAAAAACATGCAGTATTTTTCTAATTCTCTATTATTATATCGAGATGTCTATATTTTTACTCCTCCTGAAATAAAAAGGCTTTCAGATGGCACAGTCAAAACTGTCTATAAATAAAGTATTCTTAAATTGAAAACCTATCCAGTCAATTTTCCTTTCCATTTTATTCACCATCGACGACTCCTTAAAAATTGGATTTCAAAGAAAAAAACGATTTTCACCCTGATTTTCAATTAATTAATTAATTTTGAGATCATATAAAATGACCTATTTTAACACTATTTTCTCGTCCAATGTTGATTGGGTCTTGCGATACAGATCCGATAAGTATGATGTGGGCTGGGCATTTGACATGTTTCTACTACATAGACCATCTTCACGGGAATATGGCCCATCCAAATTTCCATTGGTGGGTCTAGAAAACCTACCCAATTAATCCCCGTTAGAGTAATAGCAATGTTAACCAATATATAGTTTGGACGAGGCCTGATGTGGGTTGGGTTAAGCTGAATGTAGGTGGAGCTATGAGTAAATCAAACACTAAGGCTGGCTGTGGTGGAATAATCCGAGACCATAATGGTAACTGAATCGCTGGTTTTACTCATTACATTGGAGTCTGTAAACCCTTTGAAGCGGAAGAATGGGCAATTTATAGAGGCTTGAAGCTAGCTTGGGAACTTGGATCGAGAAGAGTAATTCTTGAATCAGATGCCAAGAACCTTCTTCGCATGCTTCAGGATAGTCAACGCTACGGAAGGGCCAGCCTCCTCTTTTTCCAGATCCAAAACTTCATGTGTTGTCCTTGGGAATTAAAGTTACAGGTTATTTCAAGACAGCAGAACCAGATTGTTGATGCCTTAGCAACAGAGGGTCTTTCCAGATCTTCTACTATGGATTTGTGTCCTCCTCATTTACAGATAATTGTGCAGAAAGAGTCCATGGGATTCATTTCCCCTCCTACTTAGTTTACCTTAGCCGGGCTTTGCCCTCTCTTGTAACAAAACAAAAAAAAAACCTTGCCGTCCATTGTTTTTCAGCCGATCAACAAAAGAAGCCTTCCAAGAGTAGGCCAATGCTCTACGATGAGAGAGCACTAGAGACATCGCGTTTTCTGCAAAGATGTCAAGTTTCTAGCCAACTTTTTTTGTTTTTGATAAAAAGAATGAATTTAATACTACCTCATATATTTAATATAAGAATAGTTGACTAATTTAAATAAATTAAAAAATTAATTAAATTAGTTATTTGTAATAAATATGTGTTATTTTACCTAAAATACTTTTGCCAAACAAGTGTTATTTGATTAAATATTTAACCTATGTAATTACTATAATGATTACTTTTTTTTTTTTTTGATGAAATACTATAATGATTACTTTAGATCAACATAAAAAACAAAATAAATTGAGATTTGTATTTAATACCAAATTAAAAGTCAAACTAACTCTTATATTAAAAAACAGAGATAGTATTAAACGGCGAGAAAGACACAGTCTAAAACGAGAAAGCATGAGCCTACAAGATAGATCTATTACAAAAATATAAAACCTAGAAATTTCTTGCCAACTTGCTCTCTGCAAAACTCTACCACACGTCTCCTCTCAGCGCAAGCTATCTTGCTATTTGTCATTATTTGGATTCTTATCGTACGAGATTAAATCCGCACATATATTGCTGTTTACTTTTGATTCTAAATATAAGACCCTTATACTAACTAGTATAAATGTTTTATATTTAGGACCGGAGAGTAATTGACAAAGGTTTCAGAAGCACTTTTCCGCAAAACGAGATAATCTCCTCCACATATTTACTTCGTAATCCATAAAAACACTTCTGAAACCATGGTTTGATTTCTATCCAAACACACCCAAAGTCAAAGAACTACCTAAACTAAAACTTTTCCCTCAAGATTTTTCCTTCCTCAGTTTTGAATTCAATGTATTGTTATTTTTTTCTTAATTTTTGAATCAGGACTTGGCCGGACAAATTCATCTTGTGGCAATTTCATGAATGAAGTGATAACGCCTTTTCTTTGTTTTTTTCTTTTAAAAATTCTTATGCACCTTTCATGAATGCTCACCAGTCTGTCCTCGTATAGTCCTTGATATGATTTATAATTTTATATGATTTAGATGTGACCCCAAAAAAAAAAATCCCTAGGCAACTCGTTTTTTCAAAACTTTGACTGTCCTTCACTTTTAAACTATCCGTTCAAACTTTGTAGTGATGGCTCATATTTCCAATTTGGAACTTCATACTGTGATCAAATATGAAACAAAATTGAAGAGAAAAATCACTACTCTTAAAGTAGATCAGACATATGTGGATATAAATGAATACAAAAATTGTGGACCCACTATAAAATTTGGAATCAAGAAAATCGAGCATACAATGAATCTTCTCAATGATGTCCTAATCTTGGCTGGTTCTCGAATCCTGGTTGTTTCTTTCCCCTTGAGTAAGCTGTTCTCTTTCGGTTCCGTTTTCTTGGAATGTCCTAATCTCTTCGTCCATCATGTCATTATCTTCTTAATAGATGATGATCTCCTCGCCCATCACGTTCTCTTTCGGTTCTGTTTTCTTGCAAACTCCTAATCTCTTGGCCCATTATGTCAATGTATAACCTGCTGCTATTGCATCCATGATATCAGTGATTTATTTCTGTTCTATATTCTTTACTCTCTTCTGTTGTCATTAATTAAATATCCAGAATAAGTCCGCGCAATTTGTGGATAGTAAGATTTTGTGCAGACTATACACACTCGCACGGATAAAATCTTGTTATTTGTGACTATAAGGATTCTCACCCTACATGATAAAATAAGTTCTTGTTCTGTCATTTATGTGACCAAGTCAGAGAACCACCTAAACTAAAACCTTTTCCTTTCAGAATTCTCATGCCCCGGTTTTCAATTCAAAATATTATTGTTTACTTTTAAATTTTTGAATATGGAATCGGTAGGGCAAATTCATTTTGCATTCCTGCGTTGAAAAAGTTTCTCAGAGGATATTATAAAACCCAAACTTCAAGCCGCGCGCAACTCACTCTAGCGTGAAGTTATGGAGGACAGTTATCGCACTTTCTTACACGGAGATGCAGAGAAGAACATCGATTGGAGATTTGGTGCCCCTCCTAATTATGATGTTGTCAACAAGCTCTTCGAAGAAGGCAGAACCAAGGTGTCTCTCTCCCCCCCCTCCCCCCTCGTGTGTGTCTAGTGGTTAGAGCAAATATACCAGCTGGGAATAGCGAATCTGTTGATATCAATCTTATGTATTATGCTTTTTCTACAAGGTATGGCCTCCGGGGTCGTTGGAGGAGAAGGTGCAGACTCTCCTAAAGAATTGGGAAATGGAACTTTTCCACAAGGCAGATCCCCGCCAGTACAGATCAATGGACCCAGACAAATATACTTTCAGCCTAAACGGTAACATCGCATAAATAACGAATCAGCAGGATTCTATAACTGCAAACTCGAGGATTTAAGTTCAATATGTTGTGAAGCAAGCTTATTTTCGACTGATGACCATTCACAGGAAGGAAGCCTATAACTTTTGAAGATTTAATCAAGCTTGGTGGAGGGTATAACCCGCTACTGCAAACCTCCCTGCCAGACAAATTCAAGTTATACAATCCAGATGAAGAAACAGCAGAGTCATCTCACAAGGCTTTTACAACTACTTTCCCCCGAGGGTTTGCTCTGGAGATTGTCCACGTGTACTGTGGCCCACCAGTGGTTGTTTTCAAGTTCAGGCACTGGGGTTACATGGAGGGTCCTTTCAAAGGCCATGCCCCAACTGGAGAAAAGATTGAATTATTTGGAATAGGCATTTTCACGGTAATCAGCTTTACCCCAAGCTAGAAAACAAAGTGACCATGTTTCTTCTGTTTTAGTAATATCTCTTTGTGGTTACAGTTGGACGAGGATGAGAAAGTAATGAAGGTGGAGTTCTTTTACGATCCTGCCGAGCTGCTTGGACCTCTCTCGAAGGGCCCTGTCTCTGATGGCTCTAATGAAGATGCCGTTTCAAGCTGTCCTATCATGACGAATACTGGGTAGAGAACCCCACAAGTTTCCACCCAAACTTGAATAAATGATCTGAGTGCTTCAATCAGTTCAAGGTTGTTGCAGGATGATTATGTTTTACGACTGTATCACCTCCCTCCCACCGTCCAATATAATAAAGAATATATTGTGAGATATGCATTAGCTTAACTGCTTGACATTTAATGCGAAGAAAGTAGGAGCATATAAGTCAGAGGTTCCCGCTGACTTAGGGGGAAGCAAAATACTACCTCCGGTCCTAATTATAAGACATAGTTGACTTATTTGAGGAGATTAAAAAAGTAAGTTAAGTTAGTTATTTGTAATAAATAAGTGTTGTCATTCCTAAAATATCCTTGTTAATTAAGTATATTGGCTAGAACTATTATTATTAGAAGGACTATCTTGGAAAAAAATACATAAATATGAGAGAAAAATGGATTGGAGTCTTATAATTAGAACCAAACAAAAAGTCAAACGGGGTCTTATATTAAGAACCGGAGGTAGTACTTTTATTTTTGAGTCAGTCAACGGGTTTAGAATTCAACAAAGCGTATAAGCTCACGCTAAAGTGGATAATCGGTT